CCAAAATAGGGTACTTCTAATGTTCAGAAACTCCCAACTTTCTTGGTGGAACTCACTGATGGGAACCTCTCAGTTCCATTGATAGGCGCCAACAAGCCACCAATTTGCTCCAGAAGCTGCTGTGTTGAAGCTGATCTGACCTGCTGCGCCCTCGTTCTGGGTGAAGCCCACGGGAGGAACACTTACAGTCGCCCTCTCTCTCAACCTAAACCCCCTTACAGAAGCCTTGAAGGAACCCTAAACCCAACACCACAGCGTCGAGGTGCACCGTGCTGTCCGGGTTGTCCACGCGCTCCTAGGGATTTTACGTCTTAGGGATTTGACGGTTTTGGGATTTCAGTGTAGGGTACGAACAGGCTGTACAGGGCTCTTGCTGCTGTAAAGGGACAGGGGTGATATAGGGTGCAGTATAAGCGCTATATAGAGAAATGTTCAGAACGGTTCGAGGGTTTAGGGCTTGGGGTTTGGGGGCCCGCAAGATACGCAGAATGCAACCTCTGCTACCACAAAACTAATTAAGGAGTATGCTTGAGATTAAAGGCTTAGATCCGGGTGTGTCCTTAGTTGAAGGATTTGCTGCACACCTTCTGGGCTTTATGGGTGAGGCAAAGGCGCAAAGGTGCATAGAGCCAAATAAGCTTAACTACATGCCATTCCTCAAACCTTTAGTCAGGGTTTACGGTTGACATTTAGCAGCCCTTATGAGATCACATGCGAGCATCCATATAACACCCGAAAAACACGCTCAGGACTTTCTTAAGGATGCGTGCACGGACCAAGCTCCCGACTATAAACCCTAGGTTATTATATAGCCTCATAAGGCCATCCCAGACCTTAACCCGAAATCCCCATAAGAAAACCCCACAGAACCGAAAAGGACCGCACGAGAATCCGGTAAGAACCCTTAAGAAAGCCATCCTAAACCAAAACAACTTTAAACCCTCAGCTCCTCTACCGCATCGTCCTGGATCTCGCAGAGCGCAGGGCCCTCCGCGACATCGGCCTTGACAGGAAGGTCACGCAGGGTGCCGGGAGTTGTGAGTTTAGGGCTTAAGGTTTGAGGTCTAGGGTTTCGGGTTTGAGGCTCAAAGTTTGCGGTTTAGGGCTTGGGCTGAGGGTTTGGGGTTTAGGGTTTGAGGGGTTGAGGGTTTAGTGTGGGGGAGGGGCGAATATCGGGCCATGACACTTAGAAGGGGGTTTTTCAGGACTACAAGGGTACTTCATCGATCGTGAGACTTAGCAAGTAGGTTTTAAGTGCCTTAACAGGGGTCGTAAGTATTGTAAGTATGGCTACCTTGCTTAATAACCCTACTTAGTAAGTCGCTGATCCTTCAAGTACGTTGAACCCTGAACCCCAAACTTCTGGATCAGCCCTACTAGGTGCCTCTTTTGAGGTCTCCGTGATCCTCGAAGCATGCTGCTATTCTCTGTTATTTGTAGAGCTAGCCCAAGACACCAGGATGCTCGAGATTTGGTTTGAGGCTTTAAGGCAGAGGGTTTAGGACCTACGGAAGACTGCTTGAGGCGAGCAAACCGACTCCATGACAGGTATAGGGTTTAGGATCAAGGGTTTTGAGTTACGGTCCTAACACCGAAGACCATCCACAACAAAGCTACATCAAAAGAACCTACAAACCCTGATAAAGCCCCAAAATGCAGATTGTTTCCTGCACTAGCGAGCATCGTAAAGCTCTACAGCAAAGCCCGCTTAAGACCCTGTCGAAACCCTGTGAGACAGTTCTAAAATCTGCCAAAGCCCCAGACAACAAGCATATCTGCTGAAACCCCATATATCAATAAACAGTGTGAAGAGTCATGAATAATGATTAGCAGCAGCAATGATAATAGAGATAAGAAGACGTGTGGCAAAAACGACGAAGATGGTTGTAATAGTCATGAATATGGGTGGTTGTCAAAATTATGGTCCCTTTTTGGGTACCCTAAATATTAGGTGCCGTATTATATTAGGGACCCAAAAAGGGACCATGATTTTGACAACCACCCATATAATGATCATGAATGACAACGATGGAAACGAACAATAGCCACAATGAAGGTGGACTCATACCAGCAGTGTTGATGATGAGCATGTAACAGTATTGATGATAAACATGACAATGACAATGATCATGATGCTAAACATGATCATAACCATAATGGCTACTATGACGGTGATAAGAAGGAGCTACAAATTTAAAGAAGCAAAAAAAAATAAAACAACCCCCAAGCCTTCTCTGGTGCTGCGCATCGCTTGCGCGCCTGTCTTCGTTGAATGCTGGAAGGGTAGGGAGCTTAGGGCTTTCGAGCTCGGGGACCAGCTTTTGGGGTTTGAGGGTTTTACGATTTAGGGTTTAAGGTCTAAGGTTTAAGGTTTGGGGTTTGCGGTCTAGGATTTAGGGTTTAGGGCTTTAAGGTTTTTTTACGGCTGCCATGTTCGCACGATAGTTTGCGAACATGTCATTTTTAACAAGCCCGATTGCACGTCGGCACAGACTCGAGGTGTTTTAAGGTTTAGGATTTAAGGTTTAAGGTTTAGGGTTTAAGGCTCAGGGTTTAGGGTTTAAGGTTTAGGGTTTAGAGGCTTCGGTTTGGGGATTTAGGGGTTTAGGTTTAGGGGTTTAGGGCTCTGAGGCTCTAGGGTTTGGCGCGAGTTGGGCCCTCGAAGGAACAGCGCGCATGTGCAGCTCGTGGATGTTAGGTTCTGCGCAAGAACGTAGATGCTGCCAATAGGCCAACATGTGTAATGAAAGACCTAAAATTAGGGTACATATAACTCCACTTATAGCTACCCTGATCCCCTAAACCCCTAAACTTATGGGAAATTAGGGACTTAAACATCTGTGATGAAGTGTGAACCAGTCCAAGTTCAGTTGACATACCAGCTCAGGATTTCCAGTCCGACAGCACCTCATCAAGCAACAAAGGTCATCCCAGAAGCCTCACTGAAAAAGCTCTAAACCCTGCTTGGAGGTTCATGGGTGGCTATAAGTAGCATTTTAAATCGGATAACTATACTTATAACCTAAATTAGATATCCCCACTTATAACTACCCACGAACCAATAAGTAGGATAACCATACGCATAACTTGTAACCGAAATTGGGGGACTTATAAACCCCCTAAGACACCAACTCCACGGCGGCCTTGAAGCGCCGTGTGCGCTCGTAGAGGTACATCTGCTCCTGCATGTTCAGGTCACGGACCTGGCCAGGGTTTAGGGGTCTAGGGGTTTAGGGGTTTAGGGATTTCGGGGTTTAGGGTTTAGGGGTTTAGGGGTCTAGGGGTTTAGGGGTTTCGGGGTTTAGGGTTTAGGGGTTTAGGGGTTTAGGGTTTAGGGGTTTAGGGATTTCGGGGTTTAGGGTTTAGGGGTTTAGGGGTTTCGGGGTTTTTACGACCGCCATGCGCCACCAATGCTGTTATGGTAGAAGGAAAATCGTCGTGCAAAGCGCGTAGGCGCTGCCGCCAAGCGAGCGGAGTAGCTGGGGTGTTTCTGAAGGTACTGCTTCAGACCCAAGAAGTCTACTCTTAACTGGGAGGAGTAGCCGGGCTGTGTTTTGACGTCCTGTTGGAAGAACTCCAAAGCTTTATCCGATACTAATCCTAGCCAGTGCGGGGGGGGAGGACCACGTTTGCTGTTCTTTTGAATGCCTACTCTATCTTTGTAACCTGGGGAGAAGATTACGTGGTGAATAGGGTCATTGTGAGGAGTAGCCAGGCTGGTAGTGAGCTGTTGTAGCTGCTCCTGTAGTATTAGTTGGGATGGGAGAATGGGCTGTTCCGCTTTTAGCCAAACTGCTTTGTTGGTGATTCTGGAGTAATATGATGCTTTTATGCCTACCACTCTCCTGAGGAACTGGAAGTACCATCCGTCGATCTTCTTGAGATGTTTTTCTTCCAATGTGAGGGTGCATAGGCCATAGAGGAGTACTGAGACGACGTAGGATCTGAATATGATCAACCTGGTTTTTTGGGGCACCGAAGTCTTCCAAAAGGCTGATACTTTGCAGTAGGCTATATGGGCCTGGGAGATCCTATGGTTGATTGCTTCGAGGGTGGGATTTGACCAAGCCACCATAGAGCCTAAGTATTTGATTTTATCGTTGATTGGGGTAGGCGTGCTATCTATAAAAGAGGGCGGAGTAGTCGGAATGGGTGTCCTAAGATACTCTGTTTTGGTGAAGTTGAGGAATAGCCCATATAGCGTTGCCTCGGATTGTACATTGCGCAAGTATTCCTCTACCGCTGTAACTGTAACCCCAAATAAAAGAGTATCATCTGCATATTCTAGATCGTATACTGGTTTGCCGACAGACCATGTGTTTGTAGGCACACCGGTGCTGAGTAATCGACGGTCGACGTCTGAGAGGAGCACTGTCATTACTATTATAAAGAGGTAAGGGCTGAGGGGGCATCCTTGTCGAATGCCCGTGTGAGGAGTACCTTTAGCTTTTTCTCCATTTATTCCTACTGTATAAAAAGTTGGGTTAGTGTATATGTCTTTAATAATATCTATGTAATGCTGATGAACCCCAAATCTGCGTAGTGCAATTAGCATGCTTTCGTGGTCTACTTTGTCGAAAGCCATACGCCAATCCAGAAAAACCATATGGAACTGCTGGCCGGTCCTGGCGGAGTAGTCTTGTAATCTGCGTAGTATGAACAGTGGATGCAGAGTGCTTTTGCCCTTTCTGAATCCATACTGTGTTTGGCGGAGTAGCTGATCGTAGTTCTGCGCAAGTCTGGCCTGTATTAGAGACGCGTAGACTTTGTACAGCGTATTTAGCAGGGCGATTGGGCGGTAATTCGTTGCGTCGGCGTCGTCGCCCTTCCCTTTGTAAAAGGAGCAAGCTATTGCGTCTTTCCAGTCCTGTGGCATCGTTTTGTTTATCCAGCATGTGTTCATTAAGTCCAACAGCTGGTTTTCCCCAAATGTATCAAGGAGGAGTAATAGATCCTGTCTCAGGGAGTCAGGACCTGGCGCTTTGCCTTTCTGAAGTTTGTTAAGCACCGCTGTGAGTTCCGGCATGGTGAAAGGTTTCTGTGGGGTTGCGTCCTGTGGGCGTAGTGGCGGAGTATCCCGGAGGAGGTGATGCTCCTCTGAAGATACCTGAGTAGGAGCCCACTGAGATTGCGTGAGATGTGTGGCGAATGCCTCGTGGGTTTTCCGACCATGGGATCTGTCGTCCGTCCACCACAAGGCGACGTTTGCGCTCGGAAAAGCCTTTTTTGAGTTTGCGGAGATTAGCCCAGAGGGAGCGGTGGCTGGGATTGGGATTGTTTTCGAAGGTGGCCTTTGTCCATTCTCTTTTACGTTTTCTGGCTTCTTTTTTGAGGTCTTTATAGTAAGTGGAGTAGTTGGGGTCCAGCGCTGCGTTCATTCGTTTGGCAATGCTGAGTCGTTCTGCCAAGTCCGGGGTGATCCAGGGTCTTTGCGGAGTAGCCGGGTTTGGTGGGAACACTTCCTTTTCCGCCGCGAGGGCTGCTGAGAGGAAGCGTTCGTATTTATCTTGGGTCGTGCCTTGCGTTGGGGTAGAGTCTTGCGTTAGGTCTTCCAAAAGGAGTGGAGATTTTTGCGTGAATCTGCCTCCCTTGGCCTTGTGCGAAAGTTTACCGGCTTCCGCTAGCGCGTCGGCGCGCTCATTGTAGGTATTTCCTTTGTGTCCCTTAACCCATTGCCACCTGATACGGGTGGTTTGTTCGAGTTGTTGGCGGAGTAATCTGGCGGAGTGAACCAGTTCTTTATGTCTTTTTGGTCTAGCCTGTCCGCGTACCATTTGCGCCATCCATTTGCTATCATAATAGAACGTGACGTCCGCTGGCGGATTGGCTCGGATTATGTAAGCGCATGCTTCCATCCAAGCCTGTAGTTCTCCCGTATTATTACTGCCGACTTTTGCGCCGAACGTAAAGGGGTGCGTGTCGTCAGTTATAACGGGCCCGCTAGACTCTTCTAGCACGTCGTCCTCCGCCAACATAACATATCCCCACCCGGCTGGTGTGTGTTTGTGACATCGTCCTTGTGATCCGGAGCCGTCTGTGTAAACCTCGACGGTTACATCTGGGGGAGTAGCCAATGGTGTTGTTTGTGCATTTCGAGCGTAGTGTTTGCGGAAAGCTTGAGCGAATTCTGTGTTGGCGGAGTAGTCTCTAGTGGGTGGTCTTGAGGTTTTAGGGATCTTGGCTCCTAATTTTACCCTGCAGTCCGCTACAAGGAGATAGTGATCACTGGGGAATCCCGTGTCGTGGTGCGCTCTGACATTAAGTACACTAGGAAGCCATTTGCGTCTAGTGATCAGCTTATCTAGACTCTGAAATCGTAGAGGGTCTACTCTAGGCGGAATGGGAGCCGAGGATGGAAGCGGGTCTGCCGTTACGAATGATCGTATATTGCTAGCTATGTTCAGGCGGTCTGTTTCTGGTGTCGGTAGGGTCTGTATTCTATCGTACAGGTGTAACCAGCCCAAGGGATCTGTTACAAAGCCGCTCCAGTCAGGTGGTGGGGGGGACTTATCCCTGTAAGTAATGTGATGCTTTAAGTTAGGTGTCTTAAATGTCATCACATCTACGGCGGAGTGGCCAGTGAGCATGTTCATGTATAAGGTGCGGTTATCCTCCGGTTTTCTTTGGGCAAACTGCCGACCCTTACCATACACGTGCGGTCCTAATTCTTGTGTTTCCTGAGAGCTGCGGCCCTGGAGTCTAACATTCATGTCCCCTATTATAAATGTAGGTTCTGGTAGAGGAGTAGCCGAGAAAATGTCTTCGAGGGCGTCCCAGAAGGTGTGTTTGAGTGTGGTGTCCATTTTGTTGTGTGGAGCATACGCTCCGATCACGTGGGTTTTGCCTTCTCGACAGGCGATTGTGATTTGATTGAGGCGAGGGGAATGTTGCACAACATCGTGTATGTACGGGCGTATATGTGGTGCAATGATTGTGGTGACCCCGGCATATGGGTCCTTGGTTGATCCATTAACAATGAATTGATACCCTTGTGAGTTGTAAGAGTAGTATGATTTGCTTCGTGTTTCCGTTAGGATAAGCACATCCAAACCATACTTGGTCATGAGGCTGATCGTTTGTTGGTGTTTTAGGATTTCTGCCATCCCTTGTACGTTTTGCGTTGCGATTTTTAGTTTTTCTCCATATGGTTTTTGGGGAGTAGCCTTGGTTGTGGGCTGTTTCCCCCGTCGTGGTCCTTTCCATTCGGCATTTTTAAGGAGTTCCTTAAAGTGTTTTGCCGTTGAAGTCCCCGCTGAACGCTTGGCGGCAGCGTTCAAGGGCTTCCCCTCTTTGCCCGTGTCCTTGCCCAAGCGACCCAGGCGTATTAGCACCTTACGCGCGCGGCGCCAACGGCGGTATTCACGCCGCCGTTCGCGCCGAGCGCTGGACCCGTAACCCAAAAAGGTGCGGAGTGGAGGGGAGGCGGGTGTGCACTCTTCGTTTGCCGAAGCACCCGGCGCGCCTCGTGGAGGCGGTGCTAGCTCCTTTGTTTCCCGTTGTGAATTCTTATAAATTCTTGGTGTTGTGAATTCTGAATTGGTCAGCGCTCCTTTAGGAGGTTTGACTAGTGAGACTGGGGTGGCGGCAGGGCGGAGCCCCGTACTTCTGAGGAGTAGCCGAGATTTTGTGTAAAATCTGACACCTTGTGATGTCCTATGTGTGACACGGCGGCCAGTTCTTGCTTTAGTCGGGGTTATTAGTTGAGGTGAAGGCTGCAGGACTGGTAGGTTAGTTGTATTTGAGGTTTTGGCAGGGGGTTTAAGGCTGAGGAGGAGTGATCTAGGGATTCGGGTATTTGGTGGTGGTGTCTCAAGTTCTATGAGGAGGGTCTCGAGGTTCAGGGTTACCGTGTTGCCGAATTTAGAATGTTGCATTTTATTTCTAGCGACTTGGAGTATCTTATCTATTCCATTGGTTGTGTTGTATGCTAAAGCGTACATTAAGGAGGCGTCGCATATCACTACTACGGGATGAGATCTGTGCGGGGTGGTGTAGTAAAATACAGCCAAACTAACGTGGAGGAGTAGCCTAAGGGATGGGGATACCGATATGGTACCTGTGTTTCTGCGTTTGCCCCTCCTGCATTGCTTCCTACGAACCGGCCTGAAATCCAAACCTACTCTGAAGAGCTTCCTATGCACTAAACCCTGGTTATGTTTCAAGGCATGGGCAACTTGGGGTTTAAAGCTCGTTGCTTGGCGACACTGGCGAATTAGAAAAGACGCCGAGGGCTCCGCAGAAGGCTTCTGCCGAGGCTGGGGGGAGCACAGCTTGTACCAGGCGGCAGCTTCTAGAAAGGAGTAGCCTGGCCAGCCTAGCCTAGAAAGTTTCAAAAGAAGCGTGCTTCGACCCCGTGGGAGCGGCGGAGTAGACCCTCGGTATGATTCAAAAATGCAAAGAGCGGCCTTTCAGGCCGGGCCAGCTGGAGCTGCAGCTTTTGCGAAGCTCGCTGGCGGAGTAGCTGAGGGGGGCATCACACCAACCGAGGGAGCTCCGGAGTACGTCCCGGCGGAGTAATCGCCCACTTTGTGATCTGGTGACATTTTGTCACAGTACTCGTCCCAGCAAAATGCTACCTGTGACACCCGAACCGTAGTCAACTCAATTGGGTACGGGTTCAAGCTGGAGGAGTAGACGAAGCCCTGGGTCCAGTGTCGGCTCGGTTTGCCGATATTGGTCCCACGGCCCGAAACTGTAGCCAGGCGCGCCGCTCGCTCGAAGGAAGCTTTGTCTGCTGCATCGAGCTCCGACTGTACACCGAAAACGACCTTGTTCCACATGTAGGACCACATGTCCTTTTCTTCGGAACCAATCGGAGGAGTAGCCGCACAGGCCGTGAACAAGGGGTCCGCGATCTCCAAGCGGGCTTTAAAAGTCCCCTTCTCCTCTGCATAAAAAAGGCGTGCAACTGCGGTGGCCTGCTCATCGAATTGGCGGGTCGCCTGTGGAGACATAATGGTCAATGTCTTCCACAGGACCACCACCTGACTGTGCTCCAGCACCTCGCTTTCATTGATCAGAGCGAGGAGTACTCGGATCGGAGTCTCCAACTTCCTTTGGAATTGGGGACTGCAAGGAGTAGCCCTAATATGTCGGCCGCGAACCGGTGTGTGGGAGTCTCGCCACAGAGGAGTGCCGGTCGCACCGCCAAAAGCTTGCATGAACTCCTTTCGAAGATCCCATGCCTTAAAAGTCAAGATTGTGATCGTGCTCCACTGTTTCCCCGACGGAGGAGTAGCCGGGTCAACCTGAAGCACATTCAAAAAGACTTGCTCAGCGGTCAGATCGGAGTAGCCACGGCGGGTGAGCCAAGTGCGAATAAAGCTCACCTGTTGCAGCATCCAGTCCACCATGAAATGGCGCTCCTCAGGGGTAATCGTGGGATCCCAGCCAGTGAGGAGTACTTGGAGGCCGCAAGTCCTCTTCTGCTCCGTTCGCGACTCTGAGCTCAACCATTGAAGGTCCGCAGTGTTCCGCAAAATGCGGTCATCCAGGTTCTTGACTACACTCTCGACCTGTGTAATCAAGTTGTACAGCTCGCTGCGGATTACTCCAACGTGGTAATTGCGTACGATGTCGAAGACGTCCTGACGCGTTGCCACTGCGCCCTGCATGTATTCTGCCACTGCCTGCGGGTTGTTAGCATCCACCCCCGCTTCCACCGCGGTAAGCGTAGTAGCCGTGTCTGCTGCGATGTCGAACGGGTTGAAAAGGCGGAGTGCTTGCGGCGGTTCCTGAGACCCTGTGGCCGCTTCTGTGTGAGGCATCTCCTCGTCCTCCTGAGGAGTAGCCAAGCCAGTGCTCGAAAAACCAGCTGCTGAAGGCGGTCCGCGCTTCATCTGCTTGCGCTGCTCGAACCACATTTGTTGATATGACTGTGTGACTTCCGCATACTGCTTGGAACGTGTCTGCACCTCCTGCGTGCTAAAGACCTTGGAGAGCTCCTGAGTGTTACCGGGGCCCGACATTGCTTCCAGGCTCCAGAGAGGAGTAGCCGAAGCTGTTTCCTCAACACTAGCCCACTGCAAAACGAAAGTGAAACCTATGCAAAACTGAAGCATCCTCAAACCACCTTTGCGGAGAGTAGCCATGCTGAAACCATGCAACAACATGCGCGGGAAGCTGAAAGCCGAAGCGCCTGGTTTCGGGGTTTAGGGTTTAGGGTTTAGGGTTTAGGGTTTAAGGGTTAGGGGAAAGCCCAAGAGTCTTGGAGCCCAGGCCAGGGCCTAAACCCTAAACCCCGAAGAGCAGGGCACTAGTAGAAGCCCTTGCTTTGCTTCAGTTTAGGGTTTAGGGTTTAGGGGTTTAGGATTTAGGGGTTTAGGGGTTTAGGGTTTAGGTTAGCAGTGGCAGTGGCAGCAGTAGTGGGAGCCATAGCAGAAGCGGTAGTCCGAGCCATAGTGGTAAACGCATGAGCACAAGATCTCAGACCCTGCGTTGAACCTCAACGAACCATTATCCGATTGTACCCTGATGCGAGAAAAAAAGCACTTCAAAAGACTTAGTGGAACCTTCAACCCTTAACCCAGAAACCCCAAACCTCGACTCTAGACCCTAGAAAACCCCATACAACCCTCAACCCGAAACTCGTAAACCCTACAATATCCCCAAAACCCCTAAAACCCTTAAACTCTAAACCTCTTAACCCCTAAGAAACTCTGGAGCCTCCCCCTATTATTATAATACCCCTAAAGACCCCTTATAGTAGCCCTTATAGGTCCCTTTAAAGGAGCCCTAGGGACCCTATATTAGGTATAGACCCCTACATTCAAACTCTGGAGCCTCGTGGATGGTGCGACCCGCGAGACCGCCATCGAGGGTGGTATCTTGGCCTGGCTCGGGATTTCCTCCTGCCATGGCCTCGGCGATGCCCTAAACCCCTAAACCCCTAAACCTCCCTAAACCCTAAACCCCTAAACCCTAAACCCCTAAACTCTAAACCCTAAACCCTATGTTTTTTTGTTGAGGGGAGGGGGAGGAGGTTGGAGTTTACGGCTTTGGGGATTTTAGGCTTGAGATGTTGCAAGCTTTAAACAAACCAAGTGTGTGGAGGTTCATGGGTAGTTAGAAGGGTTCCTTTAAGGGCCCCTTTAAAGGGATCTATAGTGATTCAAGAAGGGTATAGGGTAGTTATAAGTGGGTTTATAAGTCCCTTGATATGGCTTATAGCTATAGTTATCCTACTTATAACTTATAACCCTACTGATAGCTGCCCATGAAGCTCCAAGTAGAACCTTAACCCTGTACCCTTATAGAACCCCTATAGACCCTTTTAAAGGGACCCTTTAAAGAAACCCTTATGACCACTCATGAATGGCTTCGGATATAGGAATTCGGGCTTCTGGGTCTGTTGCTTACAGCTGTAAACCTTGCTGAAGGAACCCTTTTGGATCTGTAAGACACGAGGATCTAGCTATCTAGTTTTCGGTTCAAGGTTTAGCGTTGAGGGTTTAAGGATTAGTGTTTAAGGTTTCGGCTATAAGGTTTAGGGTTCAGGATTTAAGGTCTAGTTTTTAAGGTTTCGGGTTTAAGGTCTAGGGTTTAGGGTTTGCTGTGGATCATCATGTAGGCGATAGTATCTTCTGACGAGGCTGTGTCGAGCGCATCGTACTGTGGCGATGAGCTGCGAAGGCTTGTGTGTAGAAGGCCATTCGGCTATTCCTTCTTTCTCTCCCACCTCATGCCGTATAAGGCGGCCAACCACCCAAACCTATTCCTTTTGGGGTTCAGGCCTTCCCGTTTAAGTGTGTAGATGTGGAGTTTATACTGTTGGCGGATCCAGTTTTACGCGCATGCCTAGCCCCTAAGCCCCAAAACAGGACAAGCAAGCCTCCAAGAAAGACAGCCTGCCACCAAGGAGCTGCAGCGTCTCAAGATGCACGCAGTATCAATGTCTTGCCCAAACACGATGCACAAAGCGCGATGCGTAGAAATTACTATAGAGCTACTTCTGGTATGATCTGAAGCTGTTCGTGCTCTTCTGGCGAAGCTTGTTGGTCCATGCTTGCTCACACGATCGAAACATCCATCTTAGAGCCAACGTGCATGCCACGGGGCAGAAGCGCCACAGAACACAGGGACTCCGAAACCCCTTGAATCATAGGGACCCTTTAGGGGGGTAGGGGGAGGGGGGGCGGGGACGATATGTTTCTTTTACATCGGCCTTTTTGGGTTCTTATTCTGGGCATTAAGGCCCCCCTACCCCCCCTCCCCATACCCCCCCTGAGGATCCCTACGAAATGAAGCTAAGCATAAACCCTCAGCACCCGAAGCTCAGAACTTCGTCGAGCCCCAAACCGTAAAACCGAAAGCCAACCAGGCCTGCAACCCTCAAGCCCTAGCCCCCTGAGCCTTAAATCTCAACTCTGCAACCCCCGTGGTTTAAGGTTTTCGATATTTAGGGTTTGATTAGGATTGAGGGCTCTGGGGTCACGGCCCTAAGCTCTAAACCCCTAAAGCCTAAACCGGCTTTAGGGTTTAGGGTTCGGTTTAGGGTTTTAAACCCTGGCAATCCCAAACCACGTAGCGCCTTCTGCTGTCAAACCAGGACAAGAAGCCCTCAGAAACCCCCCCACCAGATCCTAAAGACCCTCGATCAATGCCACTTTTCCCTAAAGCTCAAACCCTAAACCGGCTTGGGGCTTAGGGAACCCAACTTTCGAGGTCCGGTGCTTGGCCTCTGCTTCGTTCCAAATCCTCCCCTGGTCACACTGAGCTTGGAAACTGCGCTGGCCTGCGTTCAATTCAGGTTTTCAGGGTTTGGGGTTCAGGGTTTAGGTAACATTGCAAAGTTCGATCGTAGGAGATGTGAGGCAGCCAGTGCGACAGTGAGGAGCAGATTAAGTGTTGCGTTCAGGGTTTGGGGCTTGGGTTTGGGGGTCTCTCGAAAGGGCTTGATACGGCTTATGTATATAAGTATATGTATATATATATATACATGTTTATGTGTATATATATATATATATACATATATATATACATATATATATATATATATATGGGTGGTTGACAAAATTATGGTCCCTTTTGGGGTCCCGTATATAGTACGGCACCTAATATTTAGGGTACCCAAAAGGGACCATAATTTTGACAAGCATCCATATACACACGGGGTTTATACAGGCGGGATGGGGTTTCCACAGGCGGCTTATATCTAAGAGCTGTACAGTGTTTATGTATTACAAAAAGGCTGGGCTTGAGGACGATGGCTTAGGATTCAAACTTTCCAACGGTGACTAGCTAAAGTGCTTAATATAAGGGTCTTAATCCTTAGAATACTATAGTCATAATAAGGAACCCCCAAAATAGTATTGGTAAATACGAGTATTTGGGCCCCTGTAGTAAGCTTCTGACTGGTCTGGGGTTGGCAAGAGCTCAAGCGAAAACTCGCCGCCGGGCAGGAAATGGATGTAGGAAGGGCTGTGAAAGGGGAATCGGCTGGGGGCTTTCGGGGCGTGTAGGCTTTGGGGTTGGGGGTACAGGGTGTATCGTGGAAACAGCTGGAGACACCCCCAATTAGTTCAGGGGTGGTTATCAGTGGGGTCATAAGTCCACGCATAGAGGTCCTAACCATAGATATCCTACTTATAGTCCCACTTATAACTACCGATGAATCTCCAAGTAGTTACTTTAGTTACCTAGTTCTGGTAGGGCTCTTGATCTACAGTAAAACCCCATAAAGTTGGAAACCGGATTAAGGCCAAATAGTGCTGGGATTCCCTATACACTACTCTTAAGGATCGAGGCTCTGGAGTTTCCAACTTTGGGGCTTCTACTGTAGATCCCCGGTCCTGAAACCAAGGCTTCCTTTTGGATGCAGAAGCAGCCCTGTCGAACCTTTAAAGGGTACTGTTTTGGGTGGTTGTCAAAACTATGCTCCCTTTTTGGGGTCCCTATTGTACTACGGCACCTAATATTTAGGGTACCCAAAGAAGGAGCATAATTTTGATAACTAATCATATATAGGGTGCCTTTAGGGACTGAAGGATTCCTTTAAAGTGGTACTGTAGGGTTCCTTTAACGGCAAAAAACCGCAAGCAGCCCTGAACCCTAACCGCCCCCATACCTTAAGCCGTATGCCCTGGACCCTAATCACTTAAGCTTGAGAGTGAGCGAGGTGGAGGCCTGCAGACACCGTGGCAGTAAGCTGCCAGTAAGGTTCCTGGGGGTTTGCAGTTGTCAATTTGTGCGTCACATTAGCTCTGAAAGGATTCCAAGCTATATGCCAGAACAAGCCCTATAGAAACCTTGGTATACACCTTACTTACAGAACCCTCACAGAACCCCTGCAGAAACCTCAGAGCGCTCGAAAACTCAGATTTTCAAGGCCGAGGGGTTTAGGGTTTAGAGTGTAGAGTCTAGAGGGGTCGGAAGGCCTTCACTTCACTCTGCCCTCAACCCTCAATCCTGCAACCTAAACTTCAGACTCTAGATTTCTGAACCTGAAACTTAAATCCTAAGCCGTAACTCCAAACCCCAGCCACCTAAAACCTGAAACACTGGAAACCCGAAGCCCTAAATTCAACCCAGAAATCTTGAAACCCAGGCCGCAAACCTGTAAATTCCAGGGGTTTAGGCTTCAGCGCTGAGAGTCTATGGTTTCAGAGTTTGGGTTTTGGGGTTTCGGGATTTAAGGTTTCAGCTTTAGGGTTTACGGTGGGCTGAAGGTTCGGAGTCCCAGGATGTAGAGGTTGGCAATCCTAAACCTTAAACCCTAAACGAGTTGATGATTTGAGTGAGCACTTCAGCTTCCAAGCTGCCGGTACAAAGTCCACGATGGCCACCTGAGCCAGGAGGGTATGGGGCTTCAGGGTTTAGGGCTTAGGGTGTTGGGGTTTAGGTTTTTGGGGTTTAGGTTTTTGGGGTCTAGGAAGATTCCTACCCGGGTGCCCCTTGGGGGTTCAAGGTTTAGCAGCGTGAAGAATTTTAAAAAATGCAAGCCTATGTGATCCCACCCCCAATCCCCAAC